GGATTGCGCGTGCGCAACTCCCAATTGCTGTCTCCGGGTGTTGCTCCTGCCCCGTGACCCGTGCCCCTGTCCACCGTTCCTGCTCGGCACTCGACATGTGCAGAGCCGACTCTCGTCTTATATGTTTGTATTTGTATATAGTCTGTATCTGTATATATATCTATATACATATATATATATATATATATATATACATAGTTTTGATGTTTGCGCCTGTGTTTGTCTGTGTGGGCTTCGGCTTATGCTCCGCATTCAAAGGCAGACAGCACGGCGTCGGCGCTGTCCCAACTCCACTCCCCTCCAGCCAACCCCCTCCGCCTTCCTCACCGGTTCCCCCCCCCTGCGTCTGCTCGCCGCCTCCTTTCGCTTGGTGCGCTCCCCTTTGGCTGCCCACACAATCCACGACAGCGCGATCGCACCGCGCCCTTTGTGCTCCAAAGACGACTACACACACACACACACAGACACACACACAGACACACCTCCCGTTTACCCCTTGTCCAGCGACACACAAATGATTTTAAGTTTTTTTTTTTTATTTTTTTGTTGTTGTATTTTTCAACTTTTTAATCAATTCATGTGTCTGTCTCTGTCTCTGTCTCTGCGTGTGCGTGTGTGTGTGTGTGTGTGGATCTATTGTGTGTATAGGTTTTCGATTTTTACGTTACCTTTACCTTTTTACATTCAATTTTTATCTCTTTGCCTGCGTCTTTTCCGCTTTTTACTTGAATGTGTTTTTTATTGTTGTTGTTGTTGTTGTTGTGTTTTTTTTTTCGTTTTCTTCTTTTTGATAAATCGATTTAGAAGCCGACGGGGCCACAAAAGTGGAATTCTTTTGATTTTATTTTAAACACAAACATGCAGCGCTGCCTGTGTATTTGTTGCTTTTGTTGTTTTATTTTATTTCATTTTTTTTTTCGAAGTTTTCGTTCTTTTTCAACTTTGGTTGTTGTTGTTGTTGCTGTTACTCGTTGTGCGCATATTGTTTTTTTTTTGTTATTTGTTACTTGGAAATGCAATTCAAAAACATTTTCATGTTGCAGGCAACGGCGTTTTGGGCGCTCGACGTCGCCAGACAACTCGTCGTTGCTTCTTTTTTTGGGGCGTGTTGGGATGCCAGCAACAGCAACAACAACAAAAGTCTAAGGAACGACGTGGGAATCTATGCATGCCGTCCATTGTCCACTGTCCTCAGTCTTCAGTCCTCTCTTTTGCCTGGAAGCCTCTCTTAGCTGCCGTCTCCCTCTCGCACACACACACACACACACTAAGAGCGCTCATTATTGCTCGCTCGTTCTCGCCTTAGCCTGAACATGGCAGAGTAGCAGAGATCTATCATCGGGCATCATCAGAGTCGCCGTCGCCGTCGCCTTCGTCGTCGTCGTCGTCGTCGTCGTCGCCTTCTGCTTTGACTAGGTGACTCAATGCTTTTTTATCTGAATTGTTGCTGCTGCTGCTGCTGCTGCTGCTGCTGCTGCCGATGCTGCCTTTGACGTGCGTCTTTCTGCTCTTTCTTTCTTTCTTCTTCTTCTTCGGCTTTGCTTTTTTTTTTACATTTTTTGCTCTTGCGCCCTCGCTTCATCTACTGTTGAATATCGCACGCGCAAATGACAACAACAATAGCAACAACAACAACTTTCCATAGACACAAAACACATTTTTTATTTATGAATTTGCATACACACGCAGTCCATCCACAACAACAGCAACAATAAAAAGCCGCAGCACCAACGACACACACACACACTCGCACTCACACACACACACACACATGCATATTTGTTTCATTCATGAATTCCAGTTGACGACGACAACAGCGACGACGATCACAGCGACAGAAGCAGAAGCAGCAGCAGCAGAAACAGCAGCCGAAGCAGCAGCAGCAGAAACAGCAGCCGAAGCAGCAGCAGCAGAAACAGCAGCCGAAGCAGCAGTCGCGCAGATTTTTTTTTTTTGTCTCTGTGCGTTTATCGTTTATACAATTTTCGTTTGTCATTTGCAACAAGTGCGGCCCACTGTTGTTGTTGTTGTTGTCGTTTCTATGAATGCTGTGTGTGTTCTATGCCCTTTTGTCTTTGAGCTTAGTCAGGTGGTATCGTCAGCGATAGCAGCAGCGACGAATGTGTAAAATGCACCCACAGCCCACAAACAACTGCATACAAACATACACACACACACACACACACACGCACACACATACATTCATGCATACATATCAGCAGCAACCACAGAATATGCATACATACATATACTCACATACACCTATACGTACAAAAAATGCATTGCTCTTTCGCTCAGCCAGCAGCAGCAGCAGCAGCGGCACATGATGGAATAACATGTTATTCCATCATGAGCCAGCACAGCACATTACACATTCAACAGTTGATTCTCGATTGTGTACGTAATGCACACATGCACAAAATGCACACACACACATGCATGCATGCGGTTAGCAGCATAAGCGAAGAGCGCGAGAATCAGAGAGGCAATGACAGGCATGGCGTGCATTTTCTCCTTTTCGTGTTCCCCCCTTACATACACATACACACACACACATAAACACGGTTAGCGCTCAACAAGTTCAAGTGACGATTTGACGCAGACGTCGCAGCGTCGAGACGACAGAGCAAAAGCAAAAGCAAAAGCACCAAACAACATGTCGGCCGGGCCGAGCCCTAGTGCCAGAATGTCTGGCAGCCACGACTCACACACACAGCACACACACACACACACACACACACACTTGCACTGTGTATGCACTCTGCGCCATGCATGAGTGTGTGTCTGTGTGTGTATCGTTTTAAACTGGCAGAGCTAGCGAAATTGTAGCGCATGTTGGCAGAGGCCGCAACGTGGTTCGCAGTCGCTGTCGCTACAGTGGGGCAGTCATATTAGTTATGCTCATGAAATCAAAATAATTTTACTAAGAACTTTTTATTTTCTTTAAAAGCTTCAACAAATAAATATAAAATTATTGTTTAACAGAGTATTTTTTTTTGATTTCTTGTTTTTTCTGTTTTAATTTTAAAACATCAAATTAGACTTTTTGCTTGTTAATATCGGATATAGATGTTTCTTCTTAAAAGTATTTTAATAATTTTTGAATTATATTTACATTGATATATTATTATATTTATGTGTCAGTTGTAATATATATTATAATTTAATTGAAAAAATTAAAAAATATTGAATTTTTTAAATAATATATGTACTGTTTATTTATATATACTTTCAATTTATGCGGAGTTCGAGAGAGTTTGTCAGTTAGTCAGCCTGTAAGGCAGGCGGATCGGACTCGAACTCGAAATCGGTATCGGGCCTGGGCCGTGCCCGGGGGCAGAGCCAGCAATCGTCGTTCGACAATTCCGTCCCCTTCTGTCCAATACGTCCGACGGCGTCGGTTGTCGGTCGTCGGCCGTCGGTCGTAGCTGAAAATCAACTCTACACCAGCGCACAAAAGCGCCGCGGTCGCAACAAGCACAACAACCATGATGGAATAATATATTTATATTTATATTAATATATATATACATATGCATGTACATACATACACACACACACACACACACACACATACATTATACCACAAGAAGTACTCTCGCACACACACACACACACACACAGATATAGGCTACATGCATGCATAATACAGGAGCGCAGACACCTCGCCGACGATTGTCGTCAGTTTGTCTGCAGTGCTCAGCGCTGTTGCTGCTGCTGCAACAATAATAATAACAACAACAACAACAACAACAGCAACAACAACAACAACTGGTTTAGTCTGGCGACGGCTCTGGGGCCCGCCAAGTGTCTGACTCGTTCACACTCACACACAGATGCACGCACACTTGCTGCGCTGCTGCTGATGAGCTATTAGAACGCACACACAGATACCCACAAGCAAGCAGACAGAGCGTCGACTGCACTCACACTCTCAGACTGAGAGGCGCGCGCGAGTTATACTGTTGTTGTTGTTGTTGTTGTTGTTGTTGTTGTTGGTGCTGGTGTGGGGGGTGGTGGTGTTGTTGTTCATCATTTCGATCTCGCTTATGCCTGTAAGTGTGTGCGTGTGTGTGTGTGTGTGTGAGCGACAGCGACGGCTGCGGCTGCAGCGACGACAGTCAACGACGACCCAGCCAGTCTAGAACGTAGAACGCAGCAGGCAGAACAATTGTGTTTTGGATTCCTTACCGTACGGTTGCGGAACGCGTCGCGTAGTCAGCAACAGAAATAAAAAGAAAAAAAAGAAAGATATTTTTTCTCTCTGTGCGTTTTTTGTGTGCAAATGAATTCAAACTACAACTAAAAAAAAAATAAAACAAAAAACAAAATTGCAATATATATTTATATATTTATATATTTTTTTTGTGTTGTGTTCTCCGGTGTTTCATTTAAACTTTTACAACTGAGCAACTAAGGCTGAATAACACAACAGAAAACAGAAAACAGAAAATCAACAACAAATCAACAACAGCAGCAACAACAGCGACGAAAAAGAAACATTTTTTTTTTTTATATACAACGAACGTGTTTTTTGTTGTTGTTGTTGCGCTGCTCACTTGTTTCCAGTGCCAGCGCTGCCAGATCGCGAGTTATGAAAGCGCAAGCGTCGCCAGCGACGCACGCAAGCAGCAACAACAACACCAGCAGCAACAGCAGCAGCAGCAGCAACAAGAGCAACAGCAACAGCAACTAATGCTCATGTACAAGTAAATCAAATATTTATGTATATATTATAAATACGATATTTTTGATATACATATATACAACAAAAACAAAAACAAAAAAACAAAAAAACAAAAACATAAATATAAAAAAACAAAAACGTTATACATAAAAAACTTAAAACTCAAAATGGATAACAACGAACAAAGTTCAATTAACAACAACAACAGCAACAGCAGCAGCTTTAATCAGGAGCAGCACAAGCTGCCCGCTGCAACAGCAACTGTTGCCGAGCGTAACGGCAACAACAACAGCAACAGCAGCGGCAACAACAACAGCAGCAACACCACCAACAACAACAACAACAGCAGCAGCGCTTGCAGCCCCAAAATGGGATCACGTCGCATTTTTACGCCGCAATTTAAGTTGCAGGTGCTGGAGTCGTATCGCAACGACAATGATTGCAAGGGCAATCAGCGTGCCACAGCCCGCAAATATAATATTCATCGCCGCCAGATACAAAAGTGGCTGCAATGCGAGCCAAATTTGCGTTCCTCCGTTGCCAACAATCAGCATCAGCAGCAACAGCAGCAGCAGCAGCAGCAGCAACATCAGCAGCAACATCAGCAGCAACATCAGCATCAGCAGCAACAGCAGCAACAGTTGCTGGCGCAACAGCAAGCAACGTTAATTGTGCCACAACAGAAGCCGCATCAGTTTCATCAGTTGCCACATCCTTTGGCTCATCATGTGCATCATCATCATCATCATCATAATGCTGCTGCTGCCGCCTCGATGGCAGCAGCTGTTGCTGCCGCAGCGCGGCATCATTTGCTGGCAAACGGCTTTGCGCCGCATCCACATCCACATCATCATTTTGCAGCTGCAACAGCAACGGCAACAGCAACAGCGGGACCACAGCCACCACCAATAGCACCACCGCAGCAGCAGCAGCAACCATTGCCATTGCCCCATAGCAATGGGAATGCAGCGACAACAGTTGCAGTTGCTACCGCAGCCTCAACTGCAACGGCAACAGTTGCCACGGCCAGCAGCAGCAGCAGCACCAACAACAACAACACGCTATCGGCAGCCAAAATTGCGGCCGTCGTTGCAGCCATTGCCAGCAACAACAACAACAACAACAACAACGGCAGCAACAGCAGCAGCAACCATTGCAGCAAGAATTGCAGCAGCAACAACAGCCACACAGCGTTGCCATATTGTTCAAACACAACACAAGTGCCAAATGCAGTGCCCATGCCCAGCAGCAACTGTTGCTCCTCGACCATCAGCAGCAGTTGCAGCCACAGCAACAGCAACAACAGCCAGCACATTCCGTCATCGGCACCGCAGCAACAGTTGCCGCTGGCCTATGCATATCAGCTGCCCGCCGCCTATCTGCCCGCCACACCCATGGATCTATCGCTCAGCAGCGCAGCGCGACGCCAGCGCGAGCAGCAACAGCAGCAGCAACAGCAACAACAGTTGCAGCAGCAACATTTGCAGTTGGAACAGCAGCAGCAGCAGCAGCAGCAACAATTGCAGCTTGGCTGTCGCAAGCGTGCCGCCCATGATTTGTGGGTGGTGGGCATGCCGCCAGCGGATAAACTGAGCAAGCTGGAGGCCATCAAATGCGAGCCGAGCGACAATGAGCTGGAGGACGATGTGGACATCGATGTGGAGGCCGAAGCGGAAGCGGAAGCGGAGGCAGCAACTGTTGCTGATCGCAAACTGCCCGCCAAACAGGTGAAACTCTTCAAACCCTATCTGCTGGACGAGGCAGCCAAGCAGCCGGAGGAGGAGCAACAGCAGCAGCAGCAACAGCAGCAGCAGCAACAGGAGCAACAGGAGCAGGAGCATGAGCAACTGGAGGATGAGGAGCAATTGCAGCTGGAACTGCGGGTGGAGGACGAGCGGGCTGCCGATGCGGATGATGAGGAGCATGCAACGCTGAATGGTGCCAGCACCAGCAGCAGCAGCAGCAGCAAGAAGAAGAAGCGCGTGTCGCTGAAGCAACAACGAGAGTCCATCATCTGGAGCAATCATCCATTTGCGAGCGGCAGCAACTGCGGCAGCAACAGCAGCAGCAGCAACAGCAACAATTGCTTTCAATCGCCGCCGCCGCCGCTGCTGATGTCGTATGCAACGCTGCCGCCGTTTCCCGCCGGGAGTCCTCAGCAACAGTTTCAAAATGGCGCCAGCAACAGCAACAGTTGCAGCAACAGTTGTAGCAGCAACAGCAGCAGCAGCAGCAAACCAGCCACGCCCACAATTAACGTGCTCAGCCCATTCTCGGCGCCGGCGCTATCGCCCATCGGCTTCTGCTGCCCCAAAGGATCGCCTGTGTCCGGCTACGAGAGCAGCTCCTCCACGTACAGCGACAGCGCCAGCATCAGCGCCAGCTCCAGCTCCACACACGGCTACAGTCTCAATCTGCAGCTGCATGCCGCCGCCTACAACGACAATTTGATGCAACAGCAGCAGCAACAGCAGCAGCAGCAGCAGCAACAGCAGCAGCAACAGGCGCAACAGCAACAACAGCTGCTGCAGCGCTGGCTGGATCAGGAGGCGCTGGCACGTCTAACCTCAGCTGCTGCTGCTGCTGCAGCGGGCACAACGGCAAATGTTGCTGGCGCAACGGCAGCAAGCACGCCCAGCAATAGCCCAAGGGCAGCGCCCATAACGCTGCTCGCCTAAGCAGCAACACAGCAACAGCAGCGGCAACAGTTGCTGGCGTGCACAGCAGCAGCAGCAGCAGCAGCAAACAGCAACAACCACAATCAAACCCACCTAGCAAGGAATGGGGGGCGTGGCCTTGGGCCTGGTCCTTGGCCTTGTAAGTTTATCAAATATATATATATAAATATCAAGTCTAAAATCAACATTTTTTTTGTATTTTTTTTTTTATTTGCATCTGCTTTAATTGTTACATTTAATTTTTGATATAATTAATTATTTAATTTGAGCGCAAGCAAATACTTCCAAAAACATATCAGCAACCTTCCCACAAATACACACACACACACACACACACACACACACTCACACATACATAGACATAAGTAATTGTCATAATTATATAAAGAAAAGCTTAAATTTAACTTTAATTAGTTTTAGTTACATTTTAAAATTACATTTAGCTTATCGACCCTATTTTTTTTTTTTTATATAAATTCTAGGAACAAATTAGCTTAAGGCAACAGCAATTATATTTAGTTGACACTTTTTTTTTATTAATTATAATTATGTTTAATTATTTTATTAATTTTTTTTGCGATTTTACTCTGTGTAACATTTTCTCTTTCATTTTTTTATTTTATTTTATTATTTTTTTTTGGTTTATTTGTTTGTGTAAATAACTAATTTAATGGTGTACAAAAGAAGCGAGAAATATTCAAGCAGAAAATTCAATCAACAAAAGAATTTTCACGCTAAATGACAAACAAACAGACAAATAAAAAATTTTTAAAAATATATATAAAATAATAAAAAAAAAAACAAATACGTAAAAGGAGTCAAAAGCGTTGGCTTTCGCACGCCGAAGATGAAAATACCCTTGCAGTTAGGAAATAAATTTCACAGATCTTCCGATGACAGCTATATATGATAGAGTTGTCCGATTTTAAACATATATGTTTTTTTTTTTTTTTTGGCAGACATTTCCTACAACTAATCAGGAGTGCTATGAATGTCTATAAGTGTTACATGATAGTTGGAAAACAAAACTCAAATAAAAAAACACGAAAAACTGCAACTGAAAATAAATTTACAAAAAAAAAAAAATCAAGAAAAAAAGAAAAAAAACAAAATACAAATGAAATTCAGAAGATTGTAAGAGAAAGCTTTAAAAACAAAAACAACCAACAAATACACACACACACACACACACACACACACACATACACATGAATTTTGTTGTCATGGCTAAAAAAGAAGAAGAAGAAGAAGCAAAAAGCAAAATATATATGTATAAGGAAGGAAAACTGGGCGTGGCCAGCCCACTCTATTGAGTTAACAAACGGGCACTAATCAAATGTGTAATTCTTTTTATATAGCTGATAAATTTATATATATATATATATATACATATTATAAACTAATATTAAACAAATTATATAAATATATAGACATATATATATATTTTTTTTTGGGAAATTGAAAATTCTTGTGATATGAAAAAACAAAATTTAATAAACTGTTAAAAACTGCTGATGCATATAAAGAATTATAAACCGATTTATATACATATATATATAGATATACATATATAGTATATTTACAAAAATCAACAAGAACAAGAACAACAACAACAACAACAAATATATCTATATACAATATACATATATACAATATATTTATATACAAGAGATGTTTTTTTTTCGTGCAAACGATTTGCAAGCAAACCTTTATAGATATATATATATATATATATATATATAGTTATATATATGCTCATCAATATATGCATATATATATATATATATATGTATGTATATATACAACAGTATTTTTATATATTGAAACAAAAAACAAAAAAAATTACAAATAATTAAAAAACAAACAAAAAAACAAAACAAAATACAAAAACTGAACAAGAAATAAAAAATTATTCAATTAACAAAAAACATTAAAAATTGATCGGCGTTTTCTTTTTATTAATTTTTCATTTTTCACGTTTTTTTTATTATTGTTGTACGTTGGTGTTGGTGTTAATTCCAATTGCGTGCCCAAAACCAATTCCGCCATTTTGTTGGCCAGCGTTTAGCGTATATTTTACAGTTTACAGTGTAGAGCAGCAGCAGCAGCAGCAGCAGCAGACGTCGTTAATCATTTGGCACTTGTACAACAAGTCAACAGCTCCGCTAGCTTGGCCCTTATGCAATTGCCAATTGGCAATTGGCAGTTGCCAATCGGCTGATCACAGATCACGCTACTCAACTCAGGTATTATGTGATTATGTGATCAGATCAAACAGCTCTCCTCTGTGCAACGACTGCACATTTCTCTCTTACACAATGCGCCCACAAATATCTATATAGTATTCCGATATTTATCACTTTCTTTTGCAGCATTAAAGCCCACAAATCTCGCTGACTTTGGTTGCGATTACTCGTTAAATAACAAAAATGGGCTTTCACATCTTATAATTATGATCCGATCCGATATGATCCGCCCGCCTCAGGTATATCTACTGCCTCTCAAGTTTTAATTCGATAACTACAACTTCAACTAAGGGACTATATCAGTTCGACTAGTGATTATGATCAAGAATATATATACCTTATGGGATTTTCTGCGGCGTTTCTTAACCGATTTGAGTGCAATTGGATAATCAATATCATATTAAGGAATATACATTATCGATTATAAATACATCTATTTAAGACTGTGTTAATTGTGGCTATCGGAAATCGATTTGTATCGATATACGCATAACGCAACAATTAATCGATGGCATTAAATAAATTTAATCAGAGTATGACTGACGAGAATATATGTTTATATATACTTCATTGAGTCGGAGATGGCATCATTTAATTGTTACATATTTTTGCTAAACTTGATAACCATTTTCAATGGGTTTCTCTTTATTGTTATCGGATTAAGCTCTGCAAATATAGTAGGTGGTTTCCTACTCGTAATACTTGTAGCTCTGGTTGACTGTGACTGATGATTATTCTTATTATAGGAGGAAGGAAGCATCTCTGTACCCATTGGGAACATATCTATATACATATAATCCTGATCAGTTGAGTCGAGTGCTGATCACCGAATTTTAGAGGAACAGTTGGAAACCTTTCACTGTCTTTAACTTTTCCTAGATACAAAACTAACAAAATAATAAAATATATGTTCGACGCCTGAAAAGCTGTAAATCTAACAAATTGTCAAACAATATTACTTAATAAATAAAAAAATTAAAAATATTAAAATCAATCAAAACCCATTTGGGCTTTACTTTTGGCATAATTGAATTTTTTAATTTTGGGAACAAGGCTTAAGCTTTTACTATACCAATTTATCTGGTGTTTTATTTATTTAATAAATAAATGAATATATATATATTTTTTAATGAATATTATGAGGCATTGTTAACTGACTGAAAATGAAATGAGCATATTCAATATTCTTCCGCTTATTTCTCGAAATGTAGCAAAAGCTTTATGGATTTCTCAATGATGGATCTTTGCGCGTTGGTCTTGTGATCTTGTGATCATTGTGATCATTGTGTGTGTCATTTTGGCCAGCTCATCACATGGCTTATGTGTGTGTGTCTGTGTGTGTGTGTGTGTGTGTTTAGTTTTCCTTTTGGTTGACTGTGTCGCGTTTCGTTTCGTTTCGTTTCGCTTCGGTTTTGGTTTTGTCTCCCAGTTCTGGTCAATTCGCATAGCATATTTTTGTATTTTATTCTTTGTTTTATTTTTTTGTTGCTGTTTTTTTTTTTTTTTTTTGTCATTTTCGGTTATCGCAACGCTTTGTGCTATGACTAAGCCGCTAAATTCTATAATGCTTGTATTTTTAAAACGTTTAAAAATAAAGTGCTCTCGTTTGCCAATGTGTGCGCCAATCAGGAGCCAGAGCCACCGACGCCGCTGACGTTGCTGCCGGCGGCTGCTGCTGTTGCTGTTGCTGCTGCTGTTGCTGCTGCTGTTTCCGCTGCTGCCGAGACGTAAACGTAAACGTCAACTGGCGGCAGCGACGGCCCGTCAGTCATTGTACAACGTTGATATTTTTGCATAGCCCCTCTGCATCTGTGTGTGTGTGTGTGTTGTGGTTGCTGCCAAAGAATTTAACGCTGTGCTGCGACGTGCAAGAAGTTGGCCAAAAAAGACCAAGCGAATGCCCTACGATCGTCAGCAGGCGATGCATTCCACGCACACACACACACACACACACACACACACATATATATATATATATATCCTATTTGCCACTGAGAAGTGCTGACTCATTTGAATAGTGTGTGTCCAACTGGAAGACAACTTTGTCGCCAGTGTTAAACTATTTGATTTGATTTGCGATTACTTTATATATATATATATATAATCTGTTAATAATCTGAAGAAAGCAAAAAAAAGGAAGAAAAATTGAGCAATCAGAATAAGACTCAACTGGCAGATAAATTTGCAATATTAGTTGCTACTAACAATATTAATAATAATTTAAATATTTATGCGTATAATGTATACTAGCTATGCATATATATATATATATGTATAATATATATACTATAACTATGCTAATAGCTGTGCCTGCGGACACTATTAAATGGTTGCAGGGCAGCAGTGAACATTAAACACAAACACACGCAACACCTGTGTATCAAATCTGGGTTGCATCCAAATTTAATGCACTTTATACACCCCACACATTGACACACACACATGACACACACACACCTGACACACACACACTGACACACACACACACTGACACACACACACACACACATCCCCCCAGCAACCCTCTGTCGCCAACTGCGGCATTGCACATGTGCCTCATTTTTGTTTGTGGGGCATTCAACGAATTTCTTTGATATTTTTCTTGTTGCTGTCCGAAATTTCTTGTGACTTTTGTAATGCCACGTGACAAACATTTGCGCTAGCAAGCCCCCCCCGCCAGCAGAATGACAAACGCCTCCCGCACCACCGACACCACCGACACCACTCAGCTGGTGCGCCTGCTGATCATGTGCACCATTTGCGAGCTTTGATTTCATGAATTTTCATCAAATGCAGCCAAAATACAAAGTTAACAAAGCGGCTGGTCTCGGCAAGGGGGGGGGGGGGGGAGGGTTGGTGGCCAGGGGGCAGTGGGTGGTGTATGTGTTTGAGTGTTGGTGGTTGGGGGTCTGTCTCTGTGTATTGCTGCATAACACACCTGAGTGCATTTGGCAAGGGCATTGCAATATGTATGCACATATTTAAATACGAATTTAATAAAATTCATTTATATTATTTTTGTCTATTTTTATATGCTGATGGTTCCCGTAATTATTTCGAATGGATATCAAACAAATGGGATGCCAATAACTAACTGTCGTCGTGAAAGAAGTCTCCAGTTAATGTATAATTATATATTGAATAACGAATTAAATTTGGAACCAATTCGTAGCCTCAATGGGAAACAGATCAAAAGTGATAATCGTCGATCGTCAAAATATGCGCAACTTGAGTGAAATAATCAATAAGATATCTGTGTGGACTATGGGAACTCATAGAAATCCCCTCTTATCACTGAGGAACAGTGATTAGTGGAGCAAACACATTAATACATATATATATATATGTATATTTATATATATGCGTTCAGTAAATCAAGAACTGATCGATAATCTTCAATGGAGAAATATTTCGTTATCGTGTGCGACAAGATGTGATTAGTGAATCAATGTGTTATTTATTTAAGAAATGAAGAAAATTATAAATAGAAAAATAAAATATTTTCTATTAACTAGATGTCTCTATGTGTGTATGTATTTTAGGCAGCGATAATCAGAAATCATTTCATCAAGTAATAACCATTAGGGAAGAACAGACTTGGAATACTCACCGATACAATATATTATATATATATATATATATATATATACATATGTATATATGTATAATCATAATCGTATTAATCATGCTTAAGTGTTGTTCCCTTATTGCTTAAGTTCAGCGAGCTCACAGATATTTTTTCACTAAATAATGGAATATAAAAACCAAAAAAACAAAAAATAAAAACAGAATCAAAATTAGTTGAAATATTGTGTAAGGTCCGCCATTATCTTGACAGCGGATAAAAATCGCGAGTGTTATAATCAATGAACCCGAACGAAAATGTACGATTCTGGTGTTCTTTTAATTCTTTGAATACCCTGTAAACAGAGGCAAATGAGCAAAACGAGATGGGTATATTCAGGCTGTATCTAGTACAGAATGCTGATCAGCTTTTATTTGCCCAACAAAATTGATCGCATTGGAATAACTATAACGAATTTAACAAGTTGAACTCAAATATTGTGTAAGTCAAAAATATTGAACATTTTTACAAATATTAAAACTGTCTATATTATCAATTAGTTGCTAAAAATGAAAAATATTTGCTTATGGGAAAAAGCAAACAGCAAAAAATTAGTACTTGTTTCAAGCCAAAGTATTTCATAGCTTTTTAGCTTGTGACAGATAGAAAATGTTATAATTGAAATGATGTTATATGAAAACGATGATTATTGTCTCAAAGTAATAACAGAAGTGAACTTTTTGGTTGGTATACACATATATATATATATATATATAGATCAGCTTAAGGTATATAATATTCGTCACTTTCCTTTGCAGCTTGTCATTTTTCTGTGGAAATTGATAACCGTTGAGTGCACGATTTGTGCCACGATATATATATGTATATATATATATGTGTGTGTGTGTGTGTGTAGAGCTCCTGGGGCCGGTCCGAACTTGGGGGCTGTTGTTGTGTCGGGGGAGGGGCTACTTGGTTACTTATAAATAGCACGGCGCAAACTGCTGTGGAAAAAGTAAAATGCGAGAATAAATAGTACAAATTGAAATGATCGATGAATTGACGTGCAAATCTATTTGCGTTGCGTACACATCTATATCTATATCTATATAGTATAAATGCTAGATCAAAGCTATATATATATATATATTATTGCATAAATATGCTACATAAATGTTGTATGTATGTTGTACATTGAAATTAAATCATAAATTAGATGCTATAGTTGGTTGTTTGTCTTTGTAAATCGATCCGTTTGAAGATCGGCCCTGGGTTAAAGCCATAAAACGCTCGCTGGTAACGCACTCTCCATTTGTCGACAAGTATGAATATGGGTGTGAGTGTGTGTGTGAGTGTGTGTGTGAGTGCGAGTGTGAGTGCGAGTTATTCGTTTTTATAGTCGACCGATAAATGCAGAAAGTTGTCGGGATAACTCAAATGCTCGGACATCCATTGCAGTTGCGTCTCCTCGTGCAACTCGATGCCATGCGTGCGAAAGCCAACTGAAAACGAGAGAGAGAGAGAGAGAGAAAGAGAGAGAGAGAAAGAGACAGAAAGAGAGAGACAGAAAGGGAGAGAGAGAGAGTTGAATGATGAATAATTAGTGCTGAAATTGATTCAAGATTCAAGTCTTAGACCAGCAAATGTAAAATCTATTTGATAATATAGTAATCGATTGGCTTGCCTTAATTAATTTATCGATGACTGCCGATCAGTGATCGAAAAGTTGTAAAATTGACTTATCACACAATTGGCACCCAATTGCCATAATCAGCGGCTATTTATAGCCCATATGCGAGTATTTTGTGCCATCTGATTGCCATATAAATCAAAGTTAACATTATCGGGCCACGGGCCAAAGACTTTTGTTAAGCAAAAAAAAATAAAAATAAAAAATAAAAAAAACACAATAATCTGAAGTGGGCCGATCATTGGGTTGAATTTCGTCATTTATAATTATAGCTAGGTATATTGTAATTATAGATTAATCGCCAAACATATAATAACAACACACACAGCTTGTGCTGTGAATGGAGGATCAGGGTTCAACTCCCTGCAAGACTAGAATAAATCACTGTGATTAGTGAGATCTTCTTGGGAATCACACTATATATTCGCCTAGTTGGATAGTTAAAGGCAACGAGTTCAAATATCAATTTCAACAATTGATCAATATTTTTATGTGGATATAACTTTTCTACTTTTTTTGTTTTATTAAAAAAAATGAGTGAGTATAAAATAGTTTATTCGTTCATTTATGAATTTATATTTATAGGGTATACTTTTCAGTTGCATCGATTTTGAATACATGTGTATTATGCCCTTTACTTGGCTACAGGGTATGCGGAGCACACATGAATGTACAGCGAAGCAAGTAAGTAGCACACACACAATTCATATCGCCACATATATATATATATTTATATATATTATATATATATATATATATATAGTATAGTGTAGCTGTGATAATGCCTGATTACATACAGTGGGAAACAGCTGTGTGTGAGTGTCTGGCTGTGTGTGTGCGTGTCTGGCTGTGTGTGTGTGTCTGGCTGTGTGTGAGTGTCTGGCTGTGTGTGTGAGTGTCTGGCTGTGTGTGTGTGTGTGAGTGTGACCAGAGATAAGATTTGTGCAACGAGAGCGAGTTCAAATAGAATGCATTCGTATTAAGTGCACGACGATGTTCAACGATACGAATCCATTTGATGCGATTTAATAAGTTCGCGCCCACCCGCCGATTGCCCCCGATGGCAATATGCCTGTGATCCATGCATAATGATGATATATGGGCTATAACGCATTACACACATTATATATACGCATATATATACATACATATATATATATATATATATATATATATGTGTGTGTGTGTGTGTAGAATTGCAATGGATTGGAAAATGTGTGTCAAGTGAGGTTTGACTCTAAGATCGGAGGCAGCAGCGCAAGTCGTCTCTGGCAAATCACACTAGCTAAACTTATATCATTATAAAAGAAAGAGCAAAGGACGACTAAAGCGAGAACAATAACAAAAATGGAACAAAAACAATATTCAATTATCGCATCTAAACTATTACGATCATAATGCGGTTAATTCAAAGCAAGTGCCAAAGATTTATATACTCGTACTCGTATAGACGACTTTATGCGTACAATATTTAAGTGGAAATTGAAAGTAAAGCTGAGCCCAGCTGAGAGTTGCTTAAGAGTCATAAGTGATATCAAATTGGATACATTTCAATAAGTGGACACACTTTGAAAACATATTAAGCGTATAGCTTTTATGATGCCAGCGACACGTGATTAGCAACAGCAACAGCAGCAACAGCAACAGCAGCGATGGCAATAAAAAGCGCACATTAACAACAAAAAACAAACATTAATAATAATAATAATAAAGAAATGAAAAAGAAAAAGAAAAAAAAAAACCAAGAATAATAATAAATAAAATGCGACGAGAACGTTGAAGCGCCCCCAATGCAGAGAATGGCGCCAAACAGTCTTATGAGCGACAACAACAACAACTACAACAACAACAATTGAGTCAGAAGTGATTGAGCGACAAGGCGACAACACGCGTTGTTGTTGTTGCTGCTGTTGTTGCTGCTGCTGCTGCTGCTGTTGTTGCTGTTGCTGTTCATTGCCCGTTCCTCGATTCAGTTGGAGGCGCATAGCTCATGCCTAAAAATAAACCATTGCAGCGCGAATGTTGTACGTATCTGATAAGAAAGCCAATCATCATAATAATTTCATAGATTGCGCACTATAAAACCATAAAATCCAACTATAACGCTTTGCTCTACCAAAACCACCGCCAGCCGTAATTCTTAGACTTCTCACACATTGTCTACTTCAATGTGTAGAAATGTATAAGCATTTATGATATATATATATACTGATCACTCTATATATATATATATATATGTATATATATTATGCATCATCCTATCTCTCTCTCATTCTCTCTTACTAGTTTCGTAGCGTTTTGTTGCAGACATGTTCGATATATGCCCAAAGCATTGATTCATTTGTAATTTGAAGTTGCAGGCTTTCTTCTTATCTTTATTCGGGGATCTAGTTTCGTAATCCCCCATATCGTACAGCAGTTCCGGTATGCATATATATATATATATATATATATATATGTATCGATTGCAGATTTTCATTTTGCAGTTCAGTGACGCCATTAAAAAACTGCTAATCAATTGCTTTTTTGCTTTGTGCCATGGTTTGTCACTTGTTATTGTTTTTTTTTTTTTTTGCTGTTTATTTTTTCAATTTTTTTATATATTTTTTTTCCTTTTGTTACCGTACAAGTTCTCCTACGCCATTAAAATCCAATACGTTGCAATCCGTTTGTTTTGTTGGCGCAACAATGTTACCAACAACAATCAACAAAAAACAAAAAAAAATAAATAAAAAATGCGAAAAGCAAAACTGAAATTAACAAGAAAATAGATATTTGAGCGCTGTCAATCTGCAAATACCCTAATAAAATGTTATAAATTGCTGTCAAATGTTGGAGTCTTGTTACAACATGTTTTTAGCTCTGCGAAATATTGGATAAACAATGAATACATTAAATATCTCAATAATAAAAAGTGTTTTGTTCATGGCAACCATAAATTATGATTCATTATGGAAACATAAAAAAAAGGGAAAAGAAAACAAACAAAAAAAAAACATAAATAGAATTGTGCAATTATTGAATAATATTTCAGTTGAAAGCTTTTGCTTTTTTATTCTTGTTAGGCGTTATTAGTTTGGTCAGCAATCGAAGATACCCTCCCAAAAATGGCATAAAAAACGTTGAGTGGACAACTTATGTTTTTGGCAGATTCCACCAAAAAAAGGCACATAAACAAAACGTAGCACAGGAAGTGAGAGGAGCACTGCTGACAGATACGGAAAATATGCGATGCGATCAACTTGATTCGAAGCACAAATCGGATGTTCCCCGATGTTGCCCGCTCTGCCAATGTAAACACTTCAAACAGTTCTGTGCAAAATTCCCAAAGAGAAAAAGCTTCAAAACGAGAACACGATAAAGTTGAGCTTAACAGCGAGTGAGCGAGAGAGAGAGAGAGAGTGCTGACGGTGAGCTTTCCAGCTTTGTGTGCGTGCGTGTGTGTGTGTGTGTGTGTGTGAGTCGTTCCATTGCCTACATTGGAAGCGACGTCAAGATTTTTAAGCGGATTGCGTTGAGATAAATGCATTCAAAGGACCAACTTGTTGCTTGCTTCTTTCTTTTTATTATTTTATTTTTTTTTGCAGCTGCCGCATAGCCCACCCAAAATGCCAGGGCGTGGCACAAACAATTGTCAAACACACACACACGCACACACTTGTAAAAAGAGAGACGTGCGGGGAGGGGAAGGAGAGGTTCGTCCTGATTGCATTGTTGCATTGTTTGTCTGATTGACGAAATGCAAACGAAAATGTGTCGAAATGGAACTAAGCAAATGCAAAGGTGGCAAATGCAACACAGCCAAATGCAACAAAAGAGAGGCAGCAGCAGCCGAAACTGCTGACCATAAAAGATATGGTGCAGCAGCAGTCGCAGCAGCAGCAGCAGCGACAAGGCAAAGTGATAAATACACACAAGCGATCGCTGTGCGAGGTGCGATTTCCGACCATCCAAGCTGCTGGCGGTGGTGGCGATGCAGGTGGAGGTGGAGGTGGAGGTGTAAATACAAATAAGCGGAGGTGATATCTCAGAACTTCCTTTTCACACATTCGAGAGCAGCCTACACAAATACAAATGCACGCACGTACGCAGAGAGCGCAAGCAAATACACACACACACACGCATAGAAAGCGGGAGAGAGAGAGAGAGAGAGAGAGCGCGCGCGAGAGTGAGAGAGCGCGTGCATGTGCAGATGCATGTATGTGTGTGTGTATGTGTGTGTGTATGTGTGTATGTATGTCTGTATGGCTGAGCATTCAAAAAGCCAAAACGCCGCCGACGCTGACGCTGCTTTCCGGTGAACGCCAGATCCGCAGTCACAGCCGGCGGCAAATCATGAAAGCGCCTGTGCTACGGGCTCCCCCCCCACACACACACACACACTCCCGCCATCCTACGTCTCCCAACCCACCGCATTGCACGATAAAAAAAAAATAACAGAAAAACGAAAAACCAAAGCAAAGCAAAGCAACAACAAGTAAGCGTGCTTCAATCGAGAGGCAGCTCGACTAAGGTGTACCCTGTACCCGCTGTTCTCTCTTTGTGCGTGGGATTTTTGAGACAAGTTTTGCATTTATTATCCGATAATTATATGAATGCAAAAAAGAAAAAGAAAACGAAAATAACAAAGAATAAAATTGATTTGAGACTAAACAAAAATGTCCTATATATATATGTATGAGCAGTATGCCCCTGTTGTTATGTGCGCAAGCACGGGGTGTACTTCAAAAAGGAGACAGCAGTAGCAGAGGCAGTGGCCAAAAGCAGCGCAGTCGAAAAGAAATGCGTTTTCTTTATTTTTGACGCGTCTTAGATTCTTCGGGCCGCCTTTAGCCGCTGCTGCTGTTCTCTTGTTGTTGTTGCTTGCTTGTTTTGCTGTTTGCTTCTGCTTGGTGTTGTTGTTGTTGTTGCTTACTTGGTTTTTTTGATTTCTCGGAATGGCATCTACTTTGAACCGCCACGACGACTGCATTGTATATTTGAAATTCATTTCAATTTAAATACAAATTTTCTATGAAAATGCACGCATTACAAATACACACACATCCACAGTATACGTTCAAGTGCCCCCATCTACACTCTACACTCTACCCCTTCCCCGCCCATTTCAATCGGCAGACAGTTGACCACGTTTTGAATGTGATTTGTGGGTGTTTCATGGCGGATGCGGATGCAAACGGCAGCGGTGCAACTTTTTCTTTCTTCTTTTTTTTTTTTTTTACACAAAACTGCAATTGGCAAGCAGCGGCTGGCTGGCAGCTGGAAAGGGCCAAAGGCGTTGCAGGGGGGATGGAGTGGGGCGGGCTGAAATGGTAGCTGAACGGATCATCTTTACCAGCAGTGTAATAGATGCAGTGTACAAAGTAAAACCCAACTATAAACAACTCATGCTTGGCCAACACAACACAACACAAAACAAAAAAAAAAAAAAAAAAAACGAGGGGAACAAATCGGTTTGCGGGGGTTTGGGGGCGGGGTGCACACTCATAAACATATCCATCGAATGCTTTTCGGTTAATGGTTGCATGGCATGAGCTATAGCTGCACACATACGCAACATGCAACATGCAGCGTGTCTGTGTGTGTCTGTGTGTTTGCAAGCGGTTTTATATTCATCTTCAATTGCCGCGAATTCGATGAAATTTTGCATAAACTTAAAGCATTTTTCTTAATTTTTTATTTTTGGTTTAAGATGTGACTAGTTTGAGTATATGGAAATAGCACTGTATATAATCCATTACATAAATCAGTATATATATTTTCTGGCTTTTACGCTAGTCATCGCTTTTAATTTGAAATCAATTATTAGGCAACTTTATTTTTAATAATAAGTTATCACAAAAAACCACATTGATGAAAATTGCATTATTAATTATAGATAAATTTTCTTGTTCATTTAATTTATTTATGGGATTGAATATTAAAATAAAAAGAAAATAATTTGAGTTTTCTTCAAAGTTCTCAACTCAAGTATGAAATAACATATTTTAAATAATATTAAAGGATTTTTAAAAAGAGAGTTTATGGAAAAAACTTAATTGATAAAGAAAAATAAATGAATAATTAAACAAATTTGAAACAATTATTTCCATAATTAATAATTGTTGTTCTGTATGCTGGAGGAAAACTGATAAATCGATTCTAACTGAAATCCTTAACTCAAAGTTGACCAACAACTGAAACTGAACTGGTGTTAGTTTTGTAAGCTGATGTGGCATTATCTATGCTCTCTATATATATATGAGTCATATGATTATCTTATCTGTTGTCATGCCTTAAATTTTATATCTTAATCTGAAAATGATTGAAAATCGTGAATTGTGTTGAAAGCCACAAAAATTTCGCATATTCCGTTTTGAGACAAAAAATAATTATGAACTTTGTCTTGTTAGGAATTCGTTTTTCGGCATTTTTATTTTTTATTTGACACAGTTTATATAATAAATTAAATATAATATTATATAAATTAAATAGAATACTACGAAATTTACAGCTTGTCACTAAATGAATAAAAAGAAAACAGATGCTGCGCAAAATTTGATGACACAAATTTAGTGGTTTAATGTTAAATGAATTAAGTATTAAATAATAAATGAAAACCTAATCATATTCGAAGCAACTATTATTATTAATTATTCATTACTGGCCTACGCAAGCCAAGAGTTTTAGTGATTTTTTCTAACGTGAGCAAGAATTAACTTAATGTTTAAGCCCGCACAGCTAACTGATCCATTGGCCCACTTAAGCTAGACTTAAGCTAAGCTAAAGCAATTGCATAAAGGTCTAGTTGTGTGTGTGTGTGTGTGTAGATGTGTGTGTGTGTGTGTGTAGATGTGTGTGTGTAGGTGCGTATTTCATCAAGGACAACAGGAGATTGTAATGCAACTGTCACGTTGGATGACCTTTGGGAAAATACGTGTTACAGCCGATTTTTGGCATCCATGGGCCAAAAAGGATCGGTTTTTGTCTGTGTGTGTGTGTGTTTCAAACAAAAATCTCTCACCTTTCAAATGGGAAATTCCGCTACGCCCAACGTTGTTGGGCGATGCATGCAAATAAAAATTTCACACCTTGAACCGGGGAAATACCAACCTGACGCTGTTGCAGATGTGAAGGTAGTTCGTAGCATCAAGCATAAGGCCGAGGACGGGCCACAGGACAACACAAGGATACAGTGGATGGGACTGACATGACTATGAGTGTGAGTGGAGAGCGCCGAGAGACGGGCAAATCTCTTTGTAGTCAATGCTTCTCAATGAAAGAGAATTGAACAAATGTTGCCAGTTGAGCGAACGTAAAAGAGACAGACAGAGACAGAGACAGAGAGAGAGAGAGAGAGAGAGAGAGAGAGAAAGAGGGAGAGATGGCAAATGAATTCTAGAGATGTACACGAAGCACATAATTCGTAAATCCCAGCCGCAGGTATTTAGTTCCGCCTTTTGTCTAGCGATGGAATTCCCAATGCTATTATTGCACCTAAGCCACTGCGACACGACAACGGCTAACACACACACACACACAGACACACATAGACACAGCAATGCACACCTACACACAGCTAGAACTAGCTATGCGCCTTCTCGCTCGCACTTGCGCCTGTCGCCGGCGCCGCAGGTCAGTTGGAATCCAGCAGCGACTTGCAACGTTCGCTTGCCACGAAAATCCACACGCACACTCTTTTCATACACACACGCACACACACACACACACACACACACACACAGACACTTGGCGTTGCATTGCATTTTGTTTTGTCTATGCGGCTGAATGGCCCGAAAAACACTTGGCCAAAAAGTCTAACAGGCAACCTGCACAGTTCCCGGCTGCTTTTAGCCCCGGGGACTGCCTAAGGGCTATTGTTCAATAATTTTTCGTTTCTTTTTTGTTGTTGTTGTTTTGTTTTTCTTTTTCTCTTTGTTGTTTTTGTTTTCTGGTTCTTCGTTTTGTGCTCGTTGCTGAGCCCAAGCGACATTGATGAATTGAAGAATGATTGGCAGAGCCGCAGGGTCATAGGACGTTAGCGTCGACGCTGACTGCGACGGCGACTGCAGCAGCGTTTTGTGCACTTCAATAGAATAAAACAACAACAACAACAAAACGAAATAAGTCAGCGAGCCGACAATGTTGTTGTTTTCGGCCCAGACTGACTGGCACCTTTTTGCCCGCTTTTCTAATGAATGCCTCTCAGAGCGAGACAGACACACCGACTGCCTGTCTGTCTATCTGTGTGTGTGTGTGCGAGAGCGAGAGAGAGAGAGAGAGAGAGGGAATGTTGGCTTGTAAGGATTTTAGCCGCTATAAGAATGCCAATGTCGATTGCCCAAAATAATTGTGAGTGGCTGCGGCTAATTGATAGCCGGCAAATCCCTCAGCGAGCGTTACTAATGCCCATACATATGGTATATGTACTTATATACATATACATATATATATACAATATATATATGGTAGTCAACTCACCCGCTTTGCGCACAGGTGTCGATAATTCGGCCATCAGATCGGCCAGATTCTTCTTTTGTCCGCTCTGGCTCAGCGGCGTTATTAGCTTCTGCATGTAGGTGAAATCCTATTGGGAGCGTATCAAAAATGAAGTACAATTAAACGGCAACATCATTTAAATGCCACAGCAAGCAACAGCTGTTGCAAGGATCTTTCGATTAAATGTTCCGCGTGTTGCATGCCACCGGCTTTAATGGCACTCTCATTTAGATATGCTTCTAATTGGGCATTTGAGTGCCAACTGTATATAAATCGGATAAACTGTTTGATCTATGAAAACTTAGCTCGATTTTTGCTTAAATTTCGTTCAAGTTTTATTTCAGAGTTGCCACAAATTGCCTACTGATTTAACGAGCTTAAAAATTGACTTATTGAATTAAACTATTGCCTTTACTAACATTAATTTTGATTGCTAAGAAAGAGTTACTAGACTAGATATAAGTCGGCAAATCATAACTCAATTTGAAATACCTTCAATTATACCTAATAAAAGCAAATTAGATTGTGTAGCTAGAGTTGTCAACTTATGACAAAATTAGGAATGCAGCGTTAACTTTTTATATTATATTTATAGCTACGCTTATCTTATTTCTGATCAATATAAGTTTGTAGTTGAGGAAGAATATGATTGCATCTGCTTAAGCATTAATATAATAAGCATTTCAGTGTATTTGCTTTATTTCTGCTGGATTTCTAAAAACTCTCTAAAAAAGAAATGCTTCACTAATAGAAGCTAATATTCACGGCGGTTAATTTCTAAATGTCTGCTTTATATTCTTAATAAAAACCTTTAATTGACAAGTAAACATTAAAATGGGGTTTTCCAATAATTAAAGGATAATAATAACTGAATTCCCGATTTGAATCCTATACTTTACTTTACTGTAGACAATAGGAATAAATAACATAAGCCTGTGTGTAAATTGGAATGCAAAATATTTGCCAATAAGTGAGTTGAATACGTTTTAGACCTATTACTGCTAGATGTTTGATCAATTTTGCAGTTCGTGCCAACTTACATCATCGTAGTAGAAACGAATTGGAATGTTTTTGAATGATTCCTGATCGCTGTAGGGCTCCATGAGGCGCCTGTTGACCGCCCAGAATTGATCGAACTTGTCATTGATCAGGCCCAGCCAGAGCTGATTGTGATCCTTCTTTTGCATGGCAGAGATGACCAAGCCACGATGCTTGAGCACATCGGCTTCCTTCAGGCAGGACAGGTAATGCGATTCCAGCAGCTCTCTAAAAATTAATCAATCACTATGCATTAGTTATGGGATTATAAATCAATATTTTATCTTTGGTATACTTTGTGTTTAATTTGACTAGCTTCTCCTCGGGAAATTTGGAAAAGTGTATGGTAATGCTCCACGGTGTGCTGTCCTCATCCGGATGCAGTAGATCATAGAGCACACCTGTGCACAGCAAAACCCAAACAAAAAGCACACATAAAATATACATGAATATGCAATTGGAACTGAGACACCCATGCGCCCATCCATTCTGCGGCTCACCCACCAATTGGATAGTGTAGACGCAGCGGCGTTCCATTGAAATCGAACCACGCGGCGCCATCCTGATGCTCGGCGGCTATGTAGCGGGTGAAATACTTTCGCACCTGAGAACAAAATTCAATTTTTGCAGAGATAAACAAAGTGTCTTCTTTATTTGTTCAATTTTACCTTGTCAGTGACCAGCGGTAAATAGCTGAGACGAGAGACCATCAGATAGAACGGCTCGGGCCTAATGCCGACTATTTCCTCGCTGTCGGCTTGAAAGCAAATGCCAATCTGACCCTCCCATATCATGCGCAGCACCTCCCGATCATGTGCCATTGTTTATTTATTTATATTTTGCACAAATATACTTTTGCAGGTTTCGTGTGTTATTGTTCTTGCCATTCACCGTGAGAACCTAAAAGTGCGTTGGCAGCGCCATTGTATAGGCATATCTTTATATCGTTGTCGCCTGTCACCAGTCAGAATCGACAAGCAAGAAGAGCTGTGGTGGGTTATTGTTGGCCACAAAGAAAATTCATGATTTGAAATAATAATCAAATAAGATGCAATAAATATATATCTATTTATAATAGATTTCAGCCATTGCGATACGCAAATAGAATGCGATTGTAATCGATGCTTTCAAGTTGCAATACTATCGTTATCGATCGATAGCGCCCGTCCTCGCTATCGTGTGTGATAGCTCGATTACGATTGCAGCATAGCAAATGCAGCTCTGGAAGCGCATAAATAAATAAAGTTGCTCGAATTTTAGGCCTGCGGTTGCGTTTAGTTTTATTGCGCTTAAATGTAAATATGAAGTGTGCATCTCCAGTTGCATATGCCGAGCAATACGAATCAATAAATATACACATATATGAAAACTGATGAGATCGCGCTTGTTTTGGCCAACTGAATAAAACGCAAAACGAGAAGCATCGGCAACAACAGGCCTCAACAGAATGGATGTTGAAATACCTGTTTTGGCTGGATATCTTAATGTTCCAACTCAAACTGGATTTTCGCTTAATCGTATCTCGAAAAAGGTAAGAGCCTTCCAAAGATCAATCTCTTGCATTATTTCACATTTAACAAAACACAATGTGCACACAGTGCAATGCCAAACCAAATTGTTAAGTTCAATTTTATAAATATATATATATTATGTCAAATGCGTATTAAAACAGGACATTTGCCATGTGCATGTCCACTTTTGTCTGTGTGTGTATATAGTTGTGCTATTGCATGTGTGTGTGTGTGTATAAAGTTGTGCCATTGTATATATGTGTGTGTGTGGGCTATGTGTGCATGTATGTGTGTTCGTCTAGATATCTCCATCTGCATACTTGTTGCATACAAATGAGTAGCATAAGGTGGGAGAAAGAGAGAAACATGCCAAACGGCGAGCCGAACATATTTTCGATTTGCGTGTGCGCGCCTGACACACACACACACAAGCAAACACGTGCATGTGTATATGTATGTGTATGCTCGCGATGACGGCTGTTTTGGGGACTCATCCATATTTGTTGCTGCTGTTGTTGTTGTCTCTATATAAATACATACATAAATGTATGTAGACACATGTGTAGATACATTATTCACATGTGTCAGGAAATATTCTCTGAGGATTGGGGCCGGGCCCTGTGACAATATATGCAATGCATGTATGTGTGTGTATAACTGTGTGTGTGTGTGTGTGTGTGTATTGTTGTTGTTGTTGAGGTGGTGTTGCTGTTGGTGTATCGTTATGTAAGTAACGCTCGAAATTTCATTGGAAATTTGATTAGCACAACATTAAAACTCAATTCGAGAATGGCTAGTTCGAGCAACAACTTCGAGATGTACTCAAAAAGTTTGCTGGATATATAAATCAATATAATATGCATGCTTTATATTCATATTTCAATATTTTAAATCTTTAAATACACCTTCGGGATGGAGTCAAAACGTTCGTTGAGTTTAGTTTCCTATTTCCAGTTGATGTACAAATACAAAAGAAATAGTTATTTTCTACAATATATTAGAGAAAATTATGATCAAATTATATTATAGATATGATAAGAAAGATATGCGTTTTACTTAACCATAGCATAAACATAGATTCTAAACTTCAAAATACATTTTTTATTTATTTTTATTTTGTTTTTTTTTTTTGTAGAAATCATGCAGTCGTTTCTGTCTCTTGTTCAAGGCCAGTCGCCATGGCATTGCACGCCTGGAGATCTGCGAGAATAAAGATGACAAGAATCCAAAGATCTTTACGCTGGAGAATTGCGTAAAGATCACACAGGAACCGCCGCCAGCGAATCTCATACAAATTGTCAAACGCAACTTGCAGCTCACCTTGAATACCAACAGTGATGATGAGCTCAGACTTGAGTACGCACTGCAAACGGTCGCCTTTTGCGACAACAGCGGCCTCCATGCCGCACACAGTGCCATCGAGGAGGATAATGATCTATACTGCAGCTCATTTGTAAGTTACACAAAGTCAGAGAGAGACAGAGAGAGAGAAATATAAAAATATATTAGTTGTACTTTAAGCATAGGTCAAGCAGTGTTTCCCATTTACTATTTGTAAACTTTACTTTTAATCAAATGCATTCTTTCTAACGACAGGCAATTTGATCGTTCACTTACTGCATGTTAAGACCATCACGTATTAATTGGCATATTCGAAGCGTGTGCGTTTCCCGAGGGTTTCTAGAACGATAAATGGCAAATAGCGTTCATCGGCTCAGCTGTAAAATTGCTGGCAATTGTTATCCAGCCAGTTGAAGCGTATTGATTGTATATAGAATAGTTGGATTGAAATTGCAGTGACCTTTATAATAATAGCGCACATTGTCTTTATCAACTGTGGCAAGAGCACGATCAAGGTGCAACTTGTTGGACAATCAGATTGACATATGCCTGCCTCTATATTCTATATATGCTTTTGTTAACTTGTTTAAAGCTATCAAGTATAATTCTGATTTTCGATGAAAATTGTGAATATTGATTATATGCTCAACATTCAAAGTGAGCAATCATTACAAAATGCGTTTGATCAGCTGGTTTGCTAGTAAATTCACTTCGATTTCCGTATTAACCGTCAGATTATCAAATTGCAGCAAAAAGAAACTTTTGACAAATTCGTCCAGCTCGACAAACTTCCGACTCGCCACATAAGCTGGGCATTATTATCTTCCCATCGAAGGAACTGTCTTTTAGCTGCTGTCCAACGAAGCACTGAAGCCTGAAGCACCTTCCAATCATGGCCAGCCAGCATGGAATCGCAAGGGAAGTGTTGCTGTGAATCCAATGCACAATCGGGATTCCCAGTGGGGCACCAGTTCTGTGAGCAGCTCAACCAATTTAATCCCTTGCGAGACTGGGCTGTCTTCAAATGCTTCATTAACAATGGATTCATTAGCTTGGGATTGGTGAAACGTTCTTTTTTGGACTGGCGCGTTTTCAACTATCAAAGAAGCTCTGTAAATGAGCCCAGCCTGTTGTGTTCCTCCTGCTTGTGTCTGTCCAACCTTTACTGCTTCCTTTTTTGTCACTTTTCACTCAATTGAGTACACATGACAAGCATTTGGAAGTGGACTCTAGAAGGGAATCTCTTGGCTGTAAATCGGGAGTGGTTATCACTGCAAAAGTTGATCTTTGTTCAGCCATCATCGTCAGGTTTATCAAGTCGCTGCAAATATGCTTTTTGTTGATGGCTATGTCAATAAACTGTGCGATTGAATAACATTTATATGTAGGCATTATTCATCGACTCGAAACCCAATATTCAATATGATTTAACACTTGATATTCCCCAAACCAGTTGGACAAACAAAAATGTGGAAACAATCAGACAAACAAACCCCCAAAAAAACAACGCCATTTAATCAAAATACTGCGTAATTGTTGCAACAGCTGCTGCTGCTGCTGCTGTTGCTGATACTTGATACACACATAAATTAAATTTGATATTTTGTTTCATTGATAGGACGGACTGTTTATAATAACGCTGATACCGTCGGAGGCGTCCATCAGATGCAACATTGAGCCGCGCACATATATGCTGCAGATGACGCCAACGGAGCTGCAATTGAAATCGGAGGATCTGAAAGTGACGATTGCCATGTGGCCGTATCGATTTATACGCAAATATGGCTATCGCGATGGCAAATTCCAGTTCGAGGCGGGACGCAAGTGTACAACGGGGGAGGGTGTTTTTACGCTGGATCACACCAATCCGCAGGAGGTATTTCGCTGCATGTCCGCCAAAATGAAGTCGATGAAGAAGCTCATCAGCGGCGACAGTCTCAGCAGCATCGAATGCGGCGAGAATCAGTTCAGTGCCGCCGCCGGCATGGAGCCCGGATCGCGCAGTCCGTTGCCACCATCGCCGTCGAGCAATGTGCACAGCGGCGAGTTCGAGATTAATTCGACGCAAAGCTGTATATCGCTGCGCGGCTTCATCAGCTCCAATGATTCGCTGAATAACTTCTCCAGCAACGGGAATAGCGGTATCAGCTTATCGGTGCCATCCGTGCAACAGCAGCAGGCCGCTGGCAAACACATTCCGAACAAGCCGCCGCGCAAGCTGCCCGCACCGCTTGACCCTCAAACTCAATGTGATAAATACAAGAATCTTGTGAAATATGAACCGGTTGCCATAACGACATCATCGCCCTCGGATGCCAACAGCAAGAACAGTGGCTCGGCTGTGATCCTCAAGCCCGCCTCCCCAGATCCATTGCGCAACAGCAACAGCGTTGCTGGCAGCGGCTGTAGTAGTCCACCCGATTTGCCGCTGCGCAATGAGAGTTGCGGCAAGCTGACAATGGAACGAGATTACGAGTCCATTGAGAACATAACCGATGCGTGGAAGACGCGCGGCGTGGGCGATGTGCGCCACTGTGAGCGCATACCCTCCACCCACAGCTGTGACGCTGACAGTTTTGTGCGCCAGCGTTCGCAATCGAAACGCAAGGATCTGACTCTGGCCAACAGCAGCAACACAAGTAGCAGCATAAGTGGCAGCGCCAGCGGCAGCGGAAGTGGCAACATTATCAACTCTACGTGCACCGCCAGCAGCAGCAGCAGCAGCAACACGCCCAAAATAATCGACATTGATATTGGGGAGGGAGTCGGTGTTCTGGTCTCACCGGATGCCAGCTATGATCGCTTGGACTTTCTGTCGCCGAACAATAAAACGTCCAGCGGCTACAAGACAATTGTGAATGTGACGCTGCCAGCGAATCGAATGCGTTGCAGTCCGCCGCCGCCGAATGAGTATGAACTGATTGCTAGTCCCGATACCGAAAGTTTTCGCAAGGCCGATGACAGTCATCTTGGCTACGGTGTCCTGCGCAAATCCAACAACAACAACAACAACACCACTGCCACCAGCAACAACAACAACAATAATAATAATATTATTAACAATAACAACATCAATACATTGCCCGCCATAAATAATAACAACAATAACAACAGCAGCAGCAGCAGTAACAATATTGCAGCGGGCATCTGTGTCACGCCCCCAACGAACAAGAGCAGCGATGCCGCCCTCGATCATCGCAATTACAACGGTCTCAACTACACCATTGTCAGCAAGCCCAAGCGCGTCTGAGAGCAGCACAGAAAGCGAGAGAGCGAGAGAGCGCATGAGAGAGAGAAAGAGAGAGAGAGAACACAGACAAATACATAGATAGTTAGACAGAGAAAGAGAGAGAGCGAGAGAAAGAGAGAGAGAGAGAGAGGGGGGAGCAACAATTTTGGAGTCGTTATCTCATTTAAAAAACGCACAATTCGAATATATAAGCGAACAAAAATTTTGTATCAAATAGAAAGAGACACAAATAGACAGACAGACAAAGAGAGACAGATAGAGAGAGAGAAGGAGAGATAGAGGCAATCAATTTCAGAGCTCTCGTTGCTTGTAGCACATGCTTACATCAGGTTTCATACAATATTATAACACTCTGAAGAATTATACATTTTCACAATAGCAAATACAAATTAAGCATTCCTTAAGCATTTTATACTAGAAACTATTGAATATGCATACACAGATATATATATACGATATATATATTGATTATCTCAGCTGGAACGAATGTGCCGTCAAAAAAAGATTTGTCTTTACAAAATACCATCTAATTTTAAGCTTTCGAATCGAATTTTTGCATAGCATATTTTGTATTGGTTTTAATACATATATATTCATTCAATTCATTTTGTCCGCTGATTAATATTTTTCGACTTTTTTTTTGTTTGTTTTTTTTTTTTTAATATTTGACAGTAGACAATTAAATTGATTTGATGAATAGAAATGTTTGTGTAACAATTTGTCTTTATATAGATCAGTGTGACTGTATATTATTTTAATGCTCATTGCTCATTTATTATAATGATTTGAAATGAAATCATTATGATCTAAGCCATATCCGTTTGTCTGTTTCTATGTAAGATCTAGTCTAGAATTGATGGAAATGAACAAATTCTCGGTTCATTCTTGATTGAAACAAACAATATATCAACTAAGCTGCCATATACAAAAATCTCCGTCTTGTTTAAAAGTATCACAAATGCAATTTTGATTATAAGTAAGAACAACAAATTTGCCTACAAAATCCTTATATTCCCTGGATAAACTAAACATGTACTCAACGTTTTTTTTTTTGTTTATTGTTAACCTTTTTGAATGTGAAGTGTTTTCATGATGTTATATGATTTTAGTATGAGAACGACATATATAGAAGGAAGCATATTGATTTCAGTTAGCAATCGCAGGTAATGAAAGAGCCAACTCTCTCAGCAGCAGCAGCAGCAGCAGCAGCAGCAGCAGCAGCAGCAGTAACAACAAGAACAATAACAACATTTTTACTTGCTTGTACATAAAACAATACGTTTGCAGTAGTTAATGCCGATGCTTATGGCTTATACACATCGTGTCAATGTTCGTCTAAACAAAAAAACAGTGGGAAGATGTCAGAGAGGGGGGAGTGGGAGGGAGAGAAGGAGGAGGAGGAGGAGGGGGGGGGGGGGTGATCTGTGGCGCCATCATTGTGTGTCGTTGTAAACGGCATTTGGTATTGATTGAGCATATACCAAAAATTGTGGCGATTTTTTCATTGTACTTTTATTATTATTATTTTTTACTTGCAACTACAGAATATTTTTATTTTTATGTTTATATATATATATATATATTTTTTTTTTTTATTGTCGACCCTTTTAAATGTGTAAATAAAGCAAACGAAAAATTATAATAAAAAATAAAAAAAACTATCAAAACATAATCGATGAATTTTGGTTTTTGTGTGAAATAACACAAAAATATATTTAGAATTAATCTCTGACTATATTGATTTGATTTCCATTATATACTTTTTAGATTGTTATAGTTATCTGTGGATATTTGTATATCAGATCTGGTTACTTATTGCTATATCTTTTCTGTGCAGCCGAGCAAAGGAGGCGTTGACGCTTGTCAATGACTGTGTTTGTTGATTTGTTGTTATTATTTTTGTGGCATTCAGATTTAAGAAATCATTTGAGAGAGCAACGAGAAATTATTTGAAGAACTTTTGGAAAATGTTACTGAAACGTTTGCAAGGATTTCAATGGCGCCCATTGATGCGCCTCTATTCATCTGAGCTTGTCCACAAGGTGAGTGCTATATATATCACAATGTATATATATAATAAAAAAAAAAAAAAAATAGGACTCGTTTATAGAGAATCTGCGCAAGAACTTCAAGGAGGATGAGCTTAGTGGTGTTGTGGTGCCGACGTTTAAGAAGGCCATGCTCTATCCCGATGATATAGCAATTAAGGATATATCTGGTGAATTTACATACTTTCAGCTCTTCATCACCGCCAAAAAATTGGCCATACAAATCTCAAATTTTTGTGGCAAGTACTTAAAGCAATATCTAAGCTGGAATCAATTTGATGATGTTCTTGTTTTGTTGTTTTGTTTACAGGCAGCGCCTCGCAAATGAATGTGATATTCTTGTGCTCGAACAATGCACTGTGGATAGTTATGCAGTGGGCGTGCTGGATCTCTGGCCAGGTGGCTGTGCCGCTCGAGCCGAATCATGCGATCGATGAATTGCTTGGCCAGGCCACCGATTGCAAGGCTCATCTGGTGATTGGCACACCCGACAGCGAGACAATCACCCAGGAACTGGCACAGAAACTCCAATCGGCCAGCATTGTGGTCGATCACAGCTTTGTGCCCACCAAGGAGAGCATCTCCTCGACGGCCATGTATGCCAGACAGTTGGTTGGCCGCGACAACGATCTCATACCAGAGAGTATGCTGCCCAATGACTACTATAACAATGCACCAGCAATGCTGCTCTATACGCCCAGCTCATCGTATTGTCGGAATGGTGTGATTCTCACCTATCGCAATATTGAGGCGCAGATGGATTGCCTGACAGCCAGCTGGCAGTTGAATGCCAGCGACAGCATGCTGCCCATCATCTCGATGAATCGCATGCATGCAGCAATTGGTGCACTGCTTGGTGTCGGTGGCAACATAGTGTTGCATCAGAAATTTGAAAGCCATATTGCTTGGCGCTCACTGCTGGACATTAATAGTCCCTCCAAGCAGCGTGTGAACATCTTTCTGGCCATGCCCATTGTGTTCAAGCGTCTGATTACCGAATACGAAAAGATGTTTGCCCAGGACTCGCGCATGGTGGAGTACATCATCAATCATTGCAAGCATAAAATACGTTTGATGGCCACCGGTTTTGGCCTGCTACCGGAGACGGTCTTTTATCGCTGGCGCGATTTGACTGGACATAATATCTACGAGTATTATGGCCTGCTGGAGACGGGTCTGGTGCTGGGCCCCGTGCTCGGTAAGCAGACCTTGTCCGACAATGCTAACTATTATCCGGGCACATTGGGTGCACCGCTTGTGGGCGTCACGGCGCGTCTGGTTAATAGCCAGGGTGAGCAGCTGGTCAGCTCGACGAGCTCGAAATCCGAAGCGAAATCATCGGTGGACCCTGTGCTGCCCGGCTCCGTTGTGGGCGAACTGGAAATAGCCGGTGTTCATCTCTATCCGCTGCGGGTATCCACCAATCAGCCGCTGTTGGAGCAAACAACGAATCAGTTCATCAAAACCGGCGATATTTGCGCCTATCAAAGCGGTTGCTTCCACTTCCTCAGCAAATCGACGGATGTTTTCAATGTTGGCGGCTATAAAATCTATGGGTCGGAGATCAAGAAGGCCCTTATCTCGCATCCCGGCATCAATGATGTTGCCGTCCTCGGCATACCCAATAAACTGTGGGGTCATCGCTTGGGCGTCATTTGCATACTGTCGCCCGATTCGAAGATCGATGTGGAGACGATCAAGACATATTGCTATAGCCAACTGCCGTCGCATAAGCGACCCACAATATTCAAGACCATCGTTGCCAAGTAATAAGCAAACAATTTATCGATCTGTCAGTCAAGTAATCAATTTATCTAATTATAAATTGATTGATAGATCGTTCATCCAAAAATTTTTGTGTTTATCGTTCTAGCAAAAAAGACAACAGCAAAGAATTATTCTTTGATGGACTTGTTGATTGTAATCAATTGGAAAATTGAGTTCAATGTGCCAACATATAAGTTTGATTAAATTTTGGGATATATGTGTGTATTTAATTGAAAACTTTTCTTATCTTTCTCTTATCTTTGTCAGCTTGAGTCATGATCAGTGACGAATTCCCTTTCTGGTTCATTTAATGTGGTTCTGGAAGAGCAAACAAGAGCAATGCAATTTTTAGCAATACTCGTTAGTGGACAGATACATAATTAAACACTTGATTTTATATGCTCATCTTTATTACACCCTTGCATGAATTAGATGCAAGTATTAGGAAATGCTAGAGATTAAGAATGTTCATAGTTGTAGTCCACATCTTCGAAGGCGGTGCACAGAGCCGGATGATCAACATTTTGTCCACGCTTACATTCTTCCGCCGCTTCCTCACAGGCCGTATAGACGGGCCGGCCATAAAAGTTGGTGGTGGCATAGTTGCAGGCTACTATGTACATGTGGAAATCATCTTGCTCAAACGAGGACATGGCACAGCCGAGGCCGATAGAGCGCTCCTGGACAACCGCCGTAAAATGGCCAATAACGCTATTGATGCATTCAATTAGTTACTGCGATATTATTGTACTGTATATGAATACACTTACGGTCCGTCATAGTTTTCGGGATACTCTGCCAACTGCTCTTCGGTGACATACTGCCCCTCATTGGCCCATTCCTGGACAACTTCACGCAGAACGTCATGCAGATCCGGTGGATCCATTCCCGAGTACCCAGACATATAGAGATTCTGTCCGGAGTTCTTGAATTCCTCGGTGTTACGGCATTCATCGTGCTTCAATATGCACTGCCTCACATTAAACTCGGCCACTTCGGCGAGCTCGGGAATCCATCTCATAGTTGCCATGCGGCACGCTTTCACTGGCAACAAGCCATTCCCGCTGGCCCATTCTTGGCGCACATCATTGTGTGCGTCCCTAAGAACAATCTGCGCGTCCCTATCCAGTTCGATCAACTCGGCATCCGCCGGACAATCGTCCCCCCAGTCCTGCAAGTCTGAATTGTGAGAGATGAAGAGTGCAAAATCAGTTGGCACCACTTACCCCATCGTTGTCGCAACCGATGTGTTCCTCGCCGGCGTCACAGAGCTCGGGATCACAATAGTCCGTTGCCTGACTGCCCGCCAGCAGACAGAGTACAACAATTGCCTGGATCATCATCACCATCATCCAACAGTTGTAGCTGCGAAGTTGACTGAATTTGCTGTTGACCATAATGGAACTGCTTGTGTTTCAGTCGTTGACTGTGCTCCTTATAGCCCTCACTCACATGGCTAAGAAACGTGATCATTAACAAAAAAAGTCGTAAAATCCGAGTAGGTTGATAAGCTTAATAGCGTTGGCAGTTTGAACGCAGCTTTAACTTAATTGAAATAACCGAACTTCAAATAAGCCATGATAAACAAGTGGCAGCGTTGCACTCGAGCATAGCCGACTGCAGCATACTCAGTTGCCAGTTGGAGTTATGCCAGCTGAGTTGGCCAAATAACCATCTTGTGGGAAAAGCTAGGTGGGAAATTGTTTATTTATCCTTTTAATCTTGGGCGGCAGCTGCTAGCAAACCACCTTCCAAGTTTAGTAACTTAACTCGTGGATTGATCCGGAAGGAGAAGGTGTCTTTGAAGATCAACTGACTTGGGGGCAATCTTGCCCGTCGACATTAGTCCGGTTGCAAAAGTTTCTACCAGTTGGGGAGCTACCACGGAGAATGGTCTCAAATTCCACCTCCATGGGATACAAAAAGTGGATGAAATCGATTGAGTTTCCTGCTAATGTTAAAAATGTAAATTATTTATAAACGTGAACAAAATATAAATACATTTCTAGAAAATTTCTCAAGTTAACAAGTAAGAATGCTGCAGTCGAGGCAGCTCGACTACGGGATACCATGAACCCATTTGTTAAATATATTACTCTAGTTTTTATGGCCATCTTTTCCCTTAACAAGCTTTGCACATTTAATCTAACCAGATGTGAAATGGCTTTCATTTTTTATGGCTAGCACGGGTACTGAAAAAAAAACAATTAAGTCCAACCAAAATCACCAGTTTGCCATTAGTGGGTGGGTAGTCGTTGGCCTCTATTACTATCGGAAATCGATATGTGACGATATTTGTGAAATGAAATAAGCTGGATCTGCACGAGGTATACGAGAACAGCCAAACTTAAAGTCTCTAGCTATATTAGTCAGACGCACAGACGGACTCGACTCGGAATATATATACTTTATGGGGACGGAAATTCTTCCTTCTGCGCATTTTCTAATGTGTTCAGGGAATAAAAATATTATCTATCTTTTTAATGAAAGTTAAAACATAAAGCAATCGCTTATCATCTCAGATTAATGAGTTTTCTTCGGTAGCACAAGTGAATATGAAAAATCTGAAAAGATCGGCTGGAAATATCTTAAAGTTAAGCGAAACCAAGAAAATGTCTGAAATATGCAATTTGTTTTCTTGAAACGAAATAACGTGTCTGAGTTGTTTTCTTAGGATTACGAGAAGTTTCGATTATTTACTGGTTAGTTAAAACTCCTCCATTGGAACTATTTTTATAGCTAGTTTCTTTTTAATTAGATCCAAACAGAGTTTGCTTAGCTTATTTATATTTCTTTTTATATCGAAATTCCAAAATTTATAGCATGTTTGTTGGACTGGGAATGGAGCCGTCAATCACTTGCTTGAGGACGTTAGGCTATCTGGAACCCATCAATCCGTCCCGAGATCTCACAATATTGGATTGGGATGACAATGTGGAGATGTCGCTACTGCTGGTGATTGGATCTGTGATCTTAATGCAGCTGCTGCTCCTCATTTATGTTGTCCTCAGCACCGTGCAACCTTGCGTCATCTACCGGCAGCAGCGCAACGAGAGCAACCGTCGACGGTACCGCAACTTCATCGTACACCGCCTGCTGGCACAGCTCGATCAAGCCCTGATGCGGCGCCCAGACGCTGGCGAGGAGCTCAACTCGTGTATTGAGGCCAAACAGAGGGCCGAGTCAGCGATTCGTTTGTTCTGGTGCGATGCCGCAAAGGTGCTCTATCCCGAACATGAATTGGACTCATTGACAGCCAGTGATATGTATTTCGTCCTCCTGGACGAGGAGGCGGAACTGAATTCCGCTGGCTATGCCAGCGTCGATTTTAATGTAACGGCTTCATTCCTGGAGAGCCTAATGTATCCAGAGCGTGCCAACACTTGCCGTACAAATCAAATAAAATCGTAAAACACTCACCAAGCTCTGTTCTTGTCTAAGCCAAAAGAAGCTCGCTGCCTGGCAATCGAGTTAGGTAAATAAATTCAAATAACATTTAGATTTATATTCCAACAATTCGAACATTACACTCGCACACAAAACCAGCTAGAAACATTACATTAAATAAGAATACATTTACAAATATTTGTTTATATATAACACATTAGCACGCTGTCAATATGGATGCATGGCCTCGCATACCTTCTGCTATGTACAATTAATGACGAACAGCAAAAAAAAAAATATCCCCAATGCATTTTGTTGGTTCACTTCTTGAAGCAGATCTTGAGGATGCGTATGACTGGCGCCTCAAACAGTGCCGAGATGACAAATGCCGAGCAGAAAGAGACAACAGCATTGCCCAGAAATGTGGTCAATATCATGGGATTGTTCAGATGCACGGTGCCGCTCATATGCGATGAGCAGATGAACATGATGATCGGATGGATGAGATAGGCGCAATATGTGAGACGCGATAGAGGCCACCATACCCTATACGACAATATCGCATTGACGGTGGGCGCCATTCCCCAAAAGCAGGACAGCACAATCCAGATGAGGCCGCATCCAAAGGCCGTGTGTCCAACGCCCACATAGAAGGCGGTATTCAAGACGCTCAGCTCCCCCGGCCACACGCCAAAGATGACAACGAACAAAATGCCCAGGCTGCAGGTCCACAGACTAAGATTGAGCCGTCTTGAGATTTGTGGCGGCGTCTTAAACTTGTACAACGCATAGCCAGAAAACATGCCTGTGTGTAACAAAGAGGAGGCAGCATGCAGTGAGTGCGTTTATTTGGAGTAGATATTGTTGCACAACTTACCCACTATGTAGGGGCCGACACGCTGCCAGGGTTTGTCGTAGAGAAAGTCAAAGGACTCGAAGGGCAGCGCCACCTTATGGGTATACTGATGCTGCAGCGATATGATGCCTGCAATGCTCCACGAGCTGACCAGGAACACAATCAGCGTCACTGCCACAATCCTGAAGTATCTGAAATGTGAACAACAATGTATATAAGGCAAGATAGAAACAGAAAAGAAAATCTTATGGAGAAGATACGTAAACCTTTCGCTATAAGAACTCAGTTCAAAGTTCTCCTCTTGAGATTATAATTTTGCTGTGTTGCAGGAGACCCTGCAATGTGGCTAAGGACTCATTACTAAGCGACACTCTGCCCAAAATTGGAGAATCCCGCAATTTGAGAGTTTTCCCTTAAATTCCCAATCGATTTGCAACTTTAGGCAAGGTTGGTTTGTGAGCATGCAGCAAAAAGTCAGCTCTAATAATAATATATGACTGACTTACTTTCTGGATAATGCGAGTAAAACTGTTGACATGACATAGAACTGCATATCGTTGGCCATATACCAGCTCCACATCATGCACATCTCGTGCTGCGGAAAGAAGTTGTTGATGTAGAGTATGTTGCGCCACCAATAGATGCGGCAAGTGTTGTGCTCGATCTTGGGCGGGTGAAAGAACGGAGAATCCAGAAGAGGTAGACGGGCGTGAGGCGTAGATAGCGATAGAATAGCATCATGAGCGTGTCCAGGATGCTGCGCCTAATGAAGCCACTGGGTGCCGCCTGAAGTTTGCGCTCCTGCTTCACATACAGCAGGGTGACCAGCAGGCCGCTGATAAAGAAGAACGAGTCCACGGAGAAGGTGGCATTGCCAATGATCTGATACCAAAACGAACGTTCCGTAATCACGCGCTCAAACTAGATGATGACGATGATGAAGAGTGAGAACCAAATAAAGATGATGAACTTGCTTAGTAGAAGTATTTAGATTAATATCAACCTTATTCTCGCCTATGGCAAACATTTGCAGATACGTGTGCACCATCATGGTCCAGAGCACGGAGAAGACGCGCAGCCCATGCAAACAGGATGTGTGCGACTGGAAGTGGGAACGAGATGATATGATGCATATAGAGATTGTAACTGGGCGTAAGTCAGACTTACCTCCTTGGTCTTGTCTATGTTCAATATGGCCTTGGCATTTGTTTGCAGGGCAAAGCACAGCAACAGCTGCTGATGCAAAGCTGCAACGAAAGTTGACAATATATATTTTCGTAACTAACATTTTTGACTGGATTCTCAATGTGTATCACCTATTGGCTGCTCGGCCTCGTAGGTGCCTGGCACACCCGTACAGCTGCCCGTCTCCACCTGGTAGTCCGTCATCTCAGTCTTTTCTGGTTGCCTGCCCACTGAGGTGGATGCTGTGGTGTCTCCAATCACTGCCTCTGCTGGATTAGCAGCGGCATCTGTATGCCGCATCTGTTGCCTGTTGCCATTCATATCGACTTGTGCATCCAGTGTGGTATCTGTGCTCACAATGCCATTGCTGCCCAACGGACGCATTTGGAATAGCTCAAACGGTTTGCCATAGTAGGCGTTCTCGTAATCTCCACCCTTGTTGGACGCATCGCATTTGGCGCTTATCGCTGGTATTGGTGCCGCAATCAGCCGACGATCATCGATCTTCATCTGGTAATATGTGGCCACTATCATCACCAGCAGCAGCGTTAGCAGAAAGCTTCTACAAAGTTGAGTTAAGTTTTGAATTTTCAATTTGAAGACAGCTGGTTTACTGTGGACTCACATGAATATCTGGAACTTGAGCTGACGCCAGTGGCTGTAGAGGCCGGGAACGGTGCGAACACGCAGTACTCGCAACGCCGGCTGCTGGACATTGGACCCATTATGTGCTCCCAGCATAGTCAGCATGCGGGCATAGGGATCGAGGGACAGTATGGACTGGACATCGTGTGCCGAGCATGACTTGGGCAGACATTCGCCCAGGCTCAAGGCTTGCTGCTGTGTGTGTGTGTGTGTGTGTAAGCGAAGGTGAATGTTAGAATGTTACTGTCTGTCCGAGGTGTCTAACATCATACCGATCGATTGAGACGCGGCAAGTGGAGACTGATGTCTGCCACATAGAACTCCAGCTCGAAGTGTTTTCGGTCCACATTGGACTGCTGCCGGTTGAGCTCCAAGCAAAAGGACAGCTGTCCCAGCCACTTGTCATTGCCAAACAGCAACTGGCCCCGATATCGTCCCGATGCATCGTACGCTGTAATCCGAAAACAGTTAAGACAGGGACTTGAATAGTTCCCAGATGATAGGCAGAAGTCCGCTAAGGTTAGTGTTGTTTCTGTTTCTAGAAACACTATTAAATATACTCTTATGAATTGTGGCTAGTCCCCTGAGCTTTCCAACTTCTCCAATACACATCAGTGATCAGATCACTAATGGATCATGCAATGAATGTAAATAAGCTGTAGGAAATGCGTTTACAGAGCCAGAAAGACCACTCACTGATCAATTCAAGATGAATAAATATATGTTGAATTTTGAGAAACTATTTCAAGGTTGTGCATCGCTTTACAAAAAGAAATGCAAATATATATTCTTAAATTTCTCCTACTTATTGAGTGGAAAACTGTGTCCCAAAAGATATTGAAATGCCAGAAAGTCTGTGAACGATCATTAATAGTTGCATCAAATAACTTTTACAATCAGAAACAACTAAGTGAATAGTGAAAAACCCTCGAGATCGTTTGTGGTTTGTTAAAGAGTCTTAAGATGGAAGAGTCCACTCGCACATCATTGCATCCTAATGAATTCCACTGACCTTTCTGTGCCCACTCGTAACTGGAGTGGAGTGCGGTTAAATATGCCTGCATCTCGAGTCCGCAACCAGTGCGAACATTTGTGCGTATCTCGGAGATTTGCCAATAGAAATGATCGTACAGATTGGTCATAATTTGAAAATAGTTGGCCGTGCCATAGAGACTGTCGGCCATGGTGCTTCCGGTGGCATTTCCGGTGACATTGCTGCCCAGATATCGACTGATGCTATTGATGGTGCTGCCCAGGGTCTTTAGCTGCATATCATCATCGATCTGTTTGAGCAGCTCGCGACCCTTTTTGATGGACGGCTTATTTCGGAGTATCTTCAATATGTGTGTGCCGGATGTGCTTGTTGTGGTTGGTGTTGTGGTTGTAGTTTCCACTGCTGCTGCTGCTACTGCTGCTGCCGCTGTTGTTGTTGTTGTTGTAGTTGTAGTTGTTGTTGTTGTTTTAGTTGGTGTGGTGGGCTGTGTGGAGCTGGACTCGGGCAACTCGGATATATTCACATCGACTGTGTCATTGTCGTCGGGATTTAAGGGCATGTAACTGAGTCCAGGTGCATTGCCATTGCTGAGGACGTGCTGCTCCTCACTGCTGAGATCACCCTTCTTGATGACCTCATGCTCCAGATCCTCAAGGTCGCCCAGGTTGAAATCAAATGTGACCGGATGCAGTTCGTATTCCTTGAGCGTATGCGGTTGCTTCACATACTCAATGCTGGGCAGCACTTTCTCCAGCGGCAAATAGGGTTTCTTCTTCAGCGGCTTCAACGGCAGCACCTCGTGTGTGTTGAGTGTTAATGGTGGCACCGTCTCGTCCTCAGTCTCATCGTCCCCGTTGACCTCATGCAATACGGTGACGTTATCCCTGCTCGTGAAACGATGCACAGCAGCAAAGACACCGCGTCTCGCTGTGGAGGCCAGCGCATTGACATCATCCAAACTAGTTGCCGTTTCAGTAATTTTGGTTTGATTTGTTGCGTTCTCAGCGACAGCGCCTTGGCTGGTGAGGCTCAGGATCAGGAGCACGAAACCGAACACAAGTCCAACCCATAGCCTCGATGACCTTGACATAGTGTCGCTGGAGGCTGGGCGTCTTCAACAACTGCTGCTGCTTCTCCTCGTAGCACCTTGGCTCTTGGACGGACTCCTCGTTGTCGTGCCGGGACTATCGCTTGAGTGTTCAGCAATTCGGACGGAACTCTCTCTCTCTCTAATCGCTTGCCTGCATTTTGCTTATCATTTAATACTTGGGATCTGCGTCAGTTTGCGATTCTCACTTCTTGCTGACATCGTGTCCTGGCCTCTTAGCTTTAGCTCATTTGAGCATTGGACGGACGTATATCCTACATATTATTATTATATTATTGAATGTAATTTCATCATTGCTTAATCTTAAAAACACTATAATGATGCCACCCCCATTCCCATTCCCCTAGTGCACATAAAGTTTATGATCAGATTTTGTTGTGGTTGTTGCTGTTGTTGCTGTTGTTTGTACATTAATGGCTTTAATTGTTTCTAGGCGGTCGCAGGTTGCTGCGGATTGCCACAGCCTGGCGCAGCTGCTGTGAAAGCAAGCAACAAGAGAAAAATTACAAAATTTCCTGGTTAAACTTGTTAAACTTGTTGTTGTGACCAGCGACCGCTGCCAAGCCGAATGCCGAATGCTGATAGCTGGAAAATGCTGCTGCATCGATTGAGCCTTTCTTACATAACTTCCGCATCGCGCCATCAATTCGCATTCGGCTTTGATGATGATCTTCGCCACTGCACTGCACTGCACTCGCAGTTTTCACCTTATTATGCAATTTCTATATTATGATCTCAATCGATCGTTCATGCGCCCCAAATACACGCTTTGGACATGCCAATAATTGATGGAGTGTAAATTGAGGTGACTCCACCTCAGTCGTTAGTCCATTATCTCTCTCGCTCTGATGATGATAATGATTTGGGATCCGAATTGGAATTTGTATTTGGAGTGAAGGTTATTTCAAACTAATTAATCATCTGTGAGATAGTTAAAATCTGGCCTACATTTAATCCATTTCGATACGGACATTTTCGTATCCCATTTCATCTGTTATCCTTCTGTATTTATGTCAATAGACAAGTGTTATCAATTAAATGATGTTTTCCAATTGAGATTATTCAAAAAGCTTATAACTTGAATTGGGGTACTAGCATAGATATAAGTTTCTTAAGTACAGAACATAACCCATAAATTAGTCCTAGTTTTGTCCAACAAAATATATCAATTTTGTTTGTTTTACTGGACACAATAAATCAAACTTTTACAGGTTTTATCTGTAAAGTCAAACGAAGCTTAATAGCTTTTATACTTAATCAGCACCAATAAAAATAATTAATCTTATGTGTAAAACTCTATATTTTTGTATGCTGTAAAAGTTTTCTTTTATTTGAAGTTTACATCTGCCCCATCCATTGTCACTTGAAGCTGTTAACCACTTTAAATTCCCTCTGTTAAGTCAACAATGAAGAAAGGAAAACCAACTCTAAACAAAGTATTATTTCATAATTTTAAGTTGATTGCTTGATGAAGCTTATCTTGCAGAGATTATCCTCTCCTCTATGCTGGTCACCAAAAACAAAATACATTTCAGATTGTGTCTTTAGACCTAAGCATCTATAGGGTAAGCCAAAAGCCTGTCCATCTGAAGTGTGTTTTTATTCGCAGCAGCCAACTTGAGCCGGAAATTACTCGAATAATAAACTGGGTGACTTGGCTTATTGTAGACCGTGTGAAATGACTGACTGGAAGTTAAGATTTAATGGAGCCATTGATTGCTCAATTCACACACAGTGCCATTAGCATGTCAGTGTCGTTGGGCAAATTGCCCATTCACTGGCCACAATGCACCAGCGTCCACTGAAGATGTGGGTGGTATTTGGCCATCGAATGTGGTGCAACATATTGCAATTCAATTGTTTGGCAATCGTAGTAGCAGCAACAACAGCAATATGTACAATATAACAACAATAGAGCCACGCAATGTTGGACACAGGTTGGGTGGTCTTTGGGGAGGGAGGTGGTGCGATATGTGCGCATTGGGTGGTAATTGGAGTGGTAAACAATAACAAAAAACCGAGTAATGAACAACAAAGTAACACTTGAAAAAAAAAGAGGTACACAACTGCTAGTTGGACGACAACGTCCACCTTGTTTTTTATGGTATGGTTTTGTTTATATATGTGGATATGTTTTTTTTTTTTTTTTTTTTTTTAGGACTTTAAGATGACGACCGATGCTCAACCGAAGCGATGAAAGTAAAAACCGCAACTGATCAGGCGCCGCAAAAGCTGGCAGCGTTGCAAGCGAACGGACGGCCACAAAACCATAGCCGAGGTTGCTCGCGAACCAAGCCGAGCCTTGGCTGAGCTCAGCTCAGCTGAGTTGAGCTGAGTTGAGTTGAGCTGTGCAAATACACGCAGTCGTGCATATGCAGAAGGGACGATGCGGGCGGGGGTGCAAGACAGGTGGTGGCAGAGACGCAAATGCAGTTGCAAGTGCAAAAGTCCGCCTTTGTGTAACTCTGGCTATGCGTATAACTGTGTGTGTGTGTGTGTGCGAGGCGAGTGTGAGTGTGTGGAAATGCACAATAAAGCAAACAAGCAAAAGTCATAATGTGCACTAAAAACCAGGCGAATGCAATTGCCATGGAGGCCATAAGCTGCTCCAAAGCTGGCTTTTTCTGCCAGCTATCCCAAATGAAAACGAAATGTATGGATGCAGTTTCTTATTGGTAAAGAGACATGCCGGAGGGGTTGGGGACGTGGTAGGCATAAGAGCGTGATAGACGCGCTGCAGACTCCAAACAAACTAACAACAACAACAACGAACGAAAAAAAGGCATGAACTGAGCGCACTGACTAGCCAGCCAGCCAGCCAGCCAGCCAGCCAGCTAACTCCAGGTGAAACGAGCCATTGCCATTCGCTGCAGCCCCGGCCACCCCGGCATGCCTCCCGCACGCCTGTTGGTCAACTGGCAGAACTAGCTGGTGTGTTCGACAAAAAGAAAAACATGTCGCAATTCAACAAAAATGGTAACAAATATATCATGAATTTTGTACGAATCAAACAGAAACAAAAAGAGTTCAGTGGCAGCCCCACAAGAAACACAAGAAACAAAAACTTTCAACAGGCACACCCTCTTAAGTTCACTGCATGAATGGTAATTGTTTAAAAATAAAATATTATTTATATGTGTATAAATTTAATTTATTCGAAATTAGTCGAAAATGTGAGCAACAGGAAAATTTTAGTTGGTTTTGATTTACAATTCGAGCGAATGTCTCAGCCGGGTTTTACCAGGTTTCCAGGTGCCAGGTTTGCTTCGTCATTGTTTCGTCAAAAAAGAAAAACCCCGAATGTATTAAATAATCGAATTTATGTCAGTTTATACTTTCATTATAAGATATGCCAATGTTTATATTTTGCTTAATTAAGACATGCGATATTCTTTAAAGAAATAAGATTTATTAGATGTCTAAAATAGAATATTATAAGAAGAGTTTTCCTCAAGAAGCGAAAGATGCAATTCATTCTAATGCATTCCATTCAAATACACTAGTATTTGTCAAACTCGAACCTGTATATGCAGAAATTATTATTATATGTTTCAATAGTGATCCATGATAATCATTGTTGTGTTTTCGTAACCCCAACCTCAGTTTCAGCTCTGTTAATGAAATCGAAAGAGTTGCATATAATTTGCGAATGCGTTACAAGTTTTTGTCATGCCATAACTCAAAGATACAAAATATGGTTATTATGCTTAACGCCTCAGACTAGTGTGCCAGAAGATGTTGTTGCATGAACGAGTTGAGCCTTGAACATTGGCGGGTTTAGACAGTGTCGCAAAACTTGTTCAAGTCTTTACATAAGCAAGTGAATCGAATGTGCTTTGGACTTGGCTACGCTATCGATACAGATACACTTACAGGTACACATTTTGCCATGGTCATTTATATCTGCAATGGATGACTAATTGCTGTGTCCTCGAAATACGCTTAGATTAGAGTTCAAGTCGGTTCAGAATAGGACCACCTCCCTGTCCCCCCCGTCAGATATTTAAGGCCACACGCAAAGCTGCATCGAGTAGCCAATAATATAATATTTAAAGAAAGCGACTTGTTTGTCTGTTTGTGGGAAAAACAATCGCGGCAGGCACTGCTTCCACCTGAAATGGGCGGTATCATTTAAAAACAAAAGGGGGCGAAAGCAATTGCGGCCAATACCTTTGTTAAGTAGAGCTACAGCCCTACTGGTCACGCCTCTGCTTCGTGTGGCACGAGCCATCAACCAGGCTGCAAATGTTTGCAATACTCTGTATCCAATGCGATAAACGAGTATATTGCGTATGAGAAATATCCGTGTGGCGCCGGATCAACTTTCCAAACGAACTCAAACTTGGAGTATGGAGAGAAAAGAGTCCAGAATTATCTCACTGAAACAAGATATATATTTTTATTTATTTGATTTTTACTTATTTATATTACTTCATTTCATGTAAATTAAATACGATCAATGCTTTTAATCGTAAATTCACTTTTTAAAAGATCGGAGGGTCTAATATGTATATTGTAATTTAATAATAATTAATTAATTTTGTTTTTAAAATCTTTTTTTTTTTATAATCAATCTTAGACTCTCTAATCGAACAGTTAACGAGCGAAAGACATTTCTGCAGAGAGAGTATTGCGCAGTCGAGTTGCAGTTGCTTTTCTTGTAATATATATTTTGTGGCAAGCGTCTCCGTTCCAATGACGGGGCACAACGGGCGTCGAGGCAAGCGAAACTTGCTACCAGTGCCTAGTGATAGTCGTCCGTCGTCATGAAATGAAGTGAGTGTGTGTTCGAGTGTGTGTACTGTGTATTGGCTAACCGGCAGTGTGATGCAATTTGGCAGACATTCAGCGATTACGATAGCCAGCGTGGTGGTAGCCAGCTAGCCAGCTAGCCAGCTAGTCAGTTAGCCAGTTAGCCAGGCGCTGATGGCGGGAACAATGCTTTCGCATATTGAATGTTTTTTTTTTTAGAGTGTTGGCTTCATTGCCGATTGCCCCAATGCGCGCGCAGACGACACGACGAATTCCACTGGGTCGACATGGACAGCACAGTTGGTAAGAGCTGATTGCGG